TTTTTTTTTTTCTATCTTTCTGGAAATAGATTGCCCCATCTTCCTCCCATGGAACCGACCCCTGCTCACAACAAATTCATCATCACAATCATCATCATTTGCTGTAGTGTAGCTTTTACATCATTGAAAAGGCTTCCAGCCTTTTCTTGCACTAAAGTAAAGCTAAGTAAGAACCATATGCACCTGTTTCGATTTGCCTGCCTATTCCACTTAGAGACTTAAAGACACAGTTAGGAAGAGATGTAGTTCATAACCTGGGTGCTGCTTGTAATTATAGTTTTTCTCTCTGAACATCTTAACCATTTTAAGAAATTATGTATCTTTGAAATAATTTGAGAGAAAAATGTTTTCTACTAATAAAGATAATCTCAAGAGTTAAAAAAATATCCTTCCCTTAGAATGTGAATAAAAAATAGATAGGGAAAATTAACATGTATGCAATGGTGTTTATGTCATTTCATCAATTTAGCTTCTTAATTCTGCTCTCTAATTCTGTGATTATACTTCAGATGAGATAGGGCGTGTACAGGGTGGTATGACAAGAGATGCAACTATATTTCAGAAAGAGCACATAAAGAAATCAGCATTCCAAGATCGGTGTGTTAAAATTATTTCCTCACATTTCATAAAATTAAAAGAAAAAACATAGAGTAAAATGTTTTTATCCTTTGAGAAATTTAAATTTAACTGGTACTCAGGAAGACTAATCTCAATAAGGCATATCATTCTTAGTTCTAAGCAATTATGTAGATCTATATATTTTTTCCTTACGAATATCTGCATATTTCTTACTATTAATATTCATTGCCAGGATTTATTATGTAAAGTGTAATATAAATGTTTCATTAATGAAGCAGCTTTTCTCACTTCAGATAAAAGTTAAGTACTGTATGTTTCTTTTTCTAATTAGACTGGGTCTTTAGTACAACATTAATAGAGAATTATTGTTGTTGTGTGCCGTTGAGTCAGACCTGACTCATAGTGACGCCCTCCTTGGGTTTCCAAGGCAGTATCACTACGGAAGTAGATTGCCCAACCTTCCTTC